TCATCTTATTATCCTAATCTATTTTATCTTATTATCCATCTTATTTTATCTCTCTCTCTCCTCATATATATATATATATATATATATATATATTCTGGTGCGCCGTCCATACATGTTCCGTCCTATCCATCCATCATCCACCTATCTATTTATCTTATCATATATAAATTCTACAGACCTATTCTAACGTATCTATATATTCATCTATCTATCTCTATATAACACTTATAACATTATTACGTAAAAAATACAAGCCATGATATAATTTAATTATTTATTTGCGTATTAGTTATAGCCCACACCGTTGAGCGTCTTAGCATATAATTAACCCAGTAATTTAAACATCATTAAATGGCATTCTGACATGTGGATTCTAAGACTAGTTTTCTGCGATCTATTGAAAAAAACTGAAGGAAGCTATAGCTCGGTGTATGTATAAGTTACAGGTTAGTGTTATGTGATAGACACATAGGGATGGGGCTAATGCTAGGGATGGGGATATGAGATAGGGATGCGGGGCAAGGATAGGGATGGGGTTAGTGGCATAGGATGGGGCTAAGGGATAGGGATGGGGTTAGCCCTAACCGTTAGGGATGGGCGATAGTGTTCTGGATTAGAAGATCGGTTAGAGATGGGGATCGGTTAAGGATTAGGCTTTCGAGTTAGGTTATGCCAATGCGGCACATTGAACTGGAAGGGTATGTGCTTTCTAAATTAAAACGCAAGTCGACAAACTACCATCTTTATTTATTGGTGACGGATGCGACTACAGCTGCGCATGTCATGTAGTAATGTAGGCGCGCCGCATGTTCGTGGCGACCAGGAGCCTAAAATATTAACAAGGATAGAAGCGCGCCATATCTGGCCAAATTTTAAGGTTCGGCCGGAGACCTAGAAACAGGATTAGTGTTCTATTGCTCTCTGGGTTCGGTCTGCACAGCCGGTTTCAGTGATTATTGGTCCATAGATGGACGCCTTTGAGGCGAAAAGCACACAGCCAATCCGCTTCCTATCCGGCCAGCCAGCTGGTATTATATAGGCTAATCACCAAATCTTAATTATATTTACCTTTATTTCGGTTAAAGTGGTTAAAGTGTACATTAGAATTCAAATATATCCTTTGTAAATATAATTTAGTATATTGGTGTAATATCTCGCTACATTATCCTACACTTTTATTAAGATGCTGGTTTACTGGGTTGATATGTCAACACCGAATTTTTGCCTCAGCTGAACATGCAGTAATTTCTGTCTAAGATAGATCATCTACACAGATCATACATATATACAACCGACACAGCCCCATGCGGACAACCTGTACCTACAATACAACAGATCTGTTACCGATACATAAATTACAATATAACTTGATAATATATATAAATTATAATAATTCATAGTAAAACTTAATTAACCGCTTTCCGTGAACAGTTTCCAATTCATGTCGCTGAACACTTGGTGCGATGCAAATGTAACAAACCAAAGTAAATTTTAAAAATTTAAAGTACAACCACGAATAAAACTGAATAAAAATAAAATTATTGCCATATAAAAAATATGGCGACGGTTTTCTCGCATCTGACAGTGTTATCTAAACACAACACGCAATACAGAGAGCAACAGCGTTTATACCAGTTATATAGAAATTAACACTATAGCCTTGGTGAACATTTAACATTTAATGTCTTAACATCTAACATAAAGTATTGGACATTCAATCTGATGACGGTGTAACTTTTTCACGTCAAAATCGTACTAAATTTCTCACGTATCAGAACTGCAGCTTGCCGAATGCACAACCATAGACAGATTGAAGCGTTAAATACACTGCGAGAGGTGTGTACTAACGACAGCGACGCAGATTCCACATGTTACTCTTCTCCTTAAGCACAATTGATCAACAGGCCGGACTGAGGCTGATGACTCATCCACTCTCTGGTAAAATGGCCCAGTCTCAATCAAATTGTATGTCAGTGTTCAAGTCAATGGCTCTGAAATACTTACTAGTATTTGACATGGCTCAACTGTTAGGTAGTGTTTCAAAATGAAATGGTGCGATTGTTAATATACATTCATTAGATGCTCGAATATCTGCTTCAACCCAAGCATTTGCGTTAACGAAAAGGTCCAGCATGAAGTACTTCCCTTTTAGAACTAAATCGATTGACTCTTGCGTGCCCGACACGAGTGATTGAGGATCAGCCAGTACATTGAGCCACATCTTGCCGTAGTTGGAATATGGATCAGCGTATTGTAGCAGGTTTTCGTTGATAAATCCCCGCACAACGGTGGGAGTCAGGTGGTTGTTTGCTGCCTCTTCTAGGCTTGTGAACGGGTATTCAATAGTTGTCTGCACTGAGAGATGGCTTACCAATGTTCCACTGTATGTTCCAACCATCATAATTACGAATGGCCACCAGCAGCTGATAAACACACGAATACAAGTGCTTGAACTGGAACATGTGCCACCTTTATTGACAAATGTTCCAAACATGTAGTTATAAAAGAAGCCAAGTTTCTTGTACCACGTTCTCCTGCTTTCTTTCCGATGTGCTTGGTGATTCATATAGCACAGTAAAGTAGCAGTAATTAATCCGTATCCAGAGATTGCAAGCCATGTAACTGAATCAAATAGAGAGAAAACATTGAATGTTGCTGTTGTGGATGTTTCTGAAGTTTTTACGACTATCACATCCGTGTACACTGCATTGAGAAACACTCGAAGGACTATGTAATGTTACTCCACTACTCCAGTAAGCTGGCTTTCCTGCTCTCACATCGTACTTGACTTGATCTCTCACTGGATCATAAACACTCTTTCTCTGCTTGCTGCCACGAGTTTTGTCTGATGATGCAGCTGATTGCAGTGATAGTGTTATAATAACTGCAGACAAGCCCGTCACTAGTCCTAAACGGAAATACATTATTATGGAGCTACGATCACTGATGCACTGACTCAATTCGTTTTCGTGGATGTGGCGTTTCCTCTGCTGCTTTAAGCATACGGGCACGTTCGCTAGGTTATATACAGGTAGTATGCATGAATACATCATGTTAACACAACGATGTCACGCATCATCTTGTGCTAACAGTGAACTACAATTATTTTGATTGAATACCTGTCCGCTTCATGAGTAAAGAGGTGTGTTTGTTTTATGAGAAAAGCTTGCAAATATCAGAGATCCTGTTTGACATGAGCAGTTACACATGCTACCAGCCTCACTCATCGATATCCGCTCCGCCCCGCATGGGAGACCGCTGCTCGGTTGTGATAGGTGCAATGTGAAGCCTGCTGGTACGCTCGCTCGCTCGCACGACGCGCCTAACACACCGGCATTCACTAGGTGCGCGCGCGTCACATCGACACGCGCCTTGTTGCTAGATGACTAGGAGTTTTGTGAAAGCAAGCGGCTTTTTTTGCGCAGCAGGTGACATCGGGTATGCGCGATTCCCACGCAGAAACGTCATCCTATAGGCTAGCTAGCATCTAGTAGCGTGGAAGCCATAGACGGAGAAAGATATACCCTAAAGGGAGCCGCTATATGTATAAAGCCAGCATCTAAGGAAAAGCGCGAGTTAATCTCTAGAGGAAGCTGGTCCATAGAGAAAGTCATCATCTAAAAGCGGTAGCGATATAGATAGAGGAATCTCTACTGCGGAGGAAGCCGTTATATAGAAGAATAAGCCAGCATTCAGGCTTCAGTGGGCGCCGTCGCTGTCTCGCCTTCACGTGTGTTACCTTCACGAGTGTCACAGCCTCCAAGCCGACGATGACAGCGGCCGTACTGAAGCAGCTGCAGCTACGCATGGAGTTTGATCCGCGGTTTGACGGCAAGAAGCTGAAGCTGAAAGGGAAAGAGTTAAACCGCATCCCCAGCGACGTCTTCAACATGATCGACTTACAGATCCTCGACATGAGCCCGACGCGAGAGGCAAGCTTATTGTTTTCCCTCACAGGTAAGACGTCCTCACAGATAAACCTATTGTTCTCCGTCGCAAGTAAATCTGCTGTTCCCCCTCACATGTAAACCTATTGTTCCCCTTCACGGGTAAGACGTCCTCCCAGATAAACCTATTGTTCTCCTGCACAGGCAAACCTATTGTTCTTCCTCACAGGTAACCCTATTGTTCTCCCTCACAGGTAAACCTATTGTTCTCCATCACAGGTAAACCTATTGTTCTCCCGCACAGGTATACCTATTGTTCTCCCTCACAGGTAACCTTATTGTTCTCCCTCACAGGTAACCTTATTGTTCTCCCTCACAGGCAACCCTATTGTTCTCCCTCACAGGTAAACCTATTGTTCTCTCTCACATGTGAGACTTCCTCACAGGTAAACCAACTCTTTTTCCTCATAGGTAAACCTTGAGTTAGGGTTTTACAAATAAGCCTATTGTTCTACCGCATAGATTAGATTATATAGTAGGTGAGATTTCATTCCTTTTATAGGTAAATATTTTAGATGAAGGATATTTTCTGTAAGAAACGGGCGTTTCCATGAACACTCTCTCTTCCTCTTTTTGCCTTCTCCCCTCTCTTTCATCTATCTCTCCCCCGCTCTTTGGGCTCTCCCTCTCGCTCACTCTCTCTTTCATTCTCTTTTCCTGTATTTTCTGGCGTACTATTAATCATTTAAGCACATAATTCGGTTCCATTCTCAGCGGTCTGTCAAATTTAATAATTAATTAATTAATTAATTCAATTAACCGGCATTTCCCCGGCGCGTCATCTCCGCAGCCGTGCCGATCAACATCAATCGTCTGCAAAACCTGCGGGTGCTCATCCTTGATACGAACAAGTTGAAGATTCTGCCACCAGAGGTCGCCGAGCTGCAGCACCTGGAAAAGCTGGCAGCGAGCAATAATTTGCTGACGTCGCTGCCCGCGAGCTTCGCCAGCCTCACCGAGCTCAGCACGCTACACCTGGCCAACAACAAGTTCCGCGCGCTGCCGCCGCAGCTGTGCCGCCTGCCGCGACTCGGCTTCCTCGACATGTCCTGTAACAAGCTAACGACACTACCGGACGACATCTGCAACCTGATAAGCCTACAGGTGTGTGTGGGGGGATGTTTACGTGTGGGGGGATGTTTACGTGTGTGTGTGTGCGTGTGCGTGTGCGTGTGCGTGTGGTGTGTGTGCGTGTGCGTGTGCGCGTGCGCGTGCGCGTGCGCGTGTGCGTGTGGTGTGTGTGCGTGTGCGTGTGCGTGTGCGTGTGCGTGCGCGTGCGCGTGCGCGTTCGTGCGCGTGCGCGTGCGCGTGCGCGTGCGCGTGTGCGTGTGCGTGTGCGTGTGCGTGTGCGTGTGCGTGTGTGTGTGTGTGTGTGTGTGTGTGTGTGTGTGTGTGGGCGTGTTGTGTGTGTCAGGGCTGTGTGTGTGTGTGTGTGGCTGTGTGTGTGTGTGTGTGTGTGAGTGAGTGAGTGAGTTGGTGAGTGCAGTGATGTGAGTGAGCAGTGAGTGAGTGAGAGTAGGAGTGATGATGGAAGGGCAGCCATTCAGGGAACCCGATGTCTTGAAATATATAAACAAAATATAAAAAAAGGCGTAAAGTGTAATTCGGAGGAATAAAAAATATTGACGTCATAACATACATCAGTGCGTCGTTATGACACAATATAAATTCTCACAATTTTGCTCAGATTTGCACATGATGTGTGGTGTGTAGGAGTTAATTTATAATAACATTTCAGACGTTGCTGACGTCGCTAATCATTTATGTGAGGATTCTGCTATCATTCCATTGAATGTTTTCCAGAGCTCTTGTATTAATGACAGAATGCTTCGAGTGCACAGTGTTATCGCAGCCCGTGTGATATTTATTAATCTATGAAGGCCATATGAAGAGTCGGATTGCGGTGGTATGAAGCTGTGCGTGTATGCCGATGGCTTCTGGAAATGTTTCGTTAGCGGGGCTCTATCCTTTAGGCCGAAGTAATTCTATGCTTTACGGGTGTTCCACGCACCCGTGCGCTGTTCCCGTGTGTAGCGTTGTGTCGTAATGTTGTTTTATTTGCGTTCTATTCAATCTCATATTTCCTTGCTGGTGGCGTTTCGCCAGCATTCGGAATGTGCTAACCGCGCTCCACGCTGTTGTCGACCATCTTAATATGCTTAATCGTTAATAATGCTCGGTCAGTATTTAATGGGTTTTCCGTGTTTTAATGATCTGTACTCCATATCTGAATCCGAGTGTAAAAAATGTTTCTGATTAATTCGCGACGCAGTGTTTTCTGCTCGCATACAAACCGCTTGGGTCGTGCCGGAGCGGTGGTGAGATGACGTGGCTGCGCACACTTGTGGCTGCGGAACAACAAAACTCACATACCTTCCGCCGATGAGCTTCACCACCTAGTGAACCTAGACTGGGAGAGTACTACACGTCGTCTAACATCAACGACAATCCGCTGCCAGGATCGCCGTAAACGTCGCCTCGAACGCCTCAGCGCCAGTCTTAAGATGCATTTAATACTCATAATTGCTACAAAATAATAACGGTCAACGCTGAAATTAGTATTATTACCTGGATCTTTGTTTGCCCTAACTTTTCATTTTCAAGTTAATAAAGCGTGTAATATAATTTATTATATTTTATAATTTGTTTAATATTTAGTCAACTTTAAATTTAAATTTTTTTTGTTTTTTACCGTGTAATGTCACGCTATTGCTGTGACATTTTCCGCCACGTTCCCATGTCATCACAGCGCAACCCAGGAGCGATCTCGGAGTGCGAGACGAGGAACAACTGAAGCTAAAGTCTCTGGGAAGCCGTAATGCCGCCGCGATGAGAGACGCCCGCGAGCCAGGGAGGCAGGAGCGGCGCAAGGAGGCAGGAGAGGGAGACAACGCGAATGCATGTTGGAGCGCGCCTGCGAGAGGAAAAGCAAGAGCGCATGCGCGAAGATTGAGAGGAAAAAGCAAGAGCGCATGCGCTCGAGACAAGAGATGAAAAAGCCAGAGAAATTACTTTAGAGGGAAGCGAAAAGGCGGCAGGATAGAGTGCGCCGAAAACAAAAGCGAGGAAGGCAAGCCGATATTGTTAGCAGCTTAAATACGCGCATTCAGGCACACGGGCACAGCACCAGGCCGCGCCCACCTGCCGCCGAGTAAGCACGCTCGGCAGAGCAATCACCCTCATATATGGGCTTATATACCATGGCGCCACCACCCACGCAGCCAGAGTTATGATCCGACCAGTCCGCAACCGCACGCGCGCACATAGCTGGCATGCGACACACCTTATGATATGCACGCTAGAAAAGCTTTTTATGGCAAACGAATAAACCACGCAATTCCTAGGTAGATAGGTTAGCGCTTAATCTTTTAGCATAGCTTCCAATACGTATGCCTTCCGTTGGCGCCGGGCGTTGCGTTTAATGCTGTACGTATATAATTAGGCATGTGCATGCGTTGTGTGCATGCGTGTGTTGCATGCGTGCTGCTGCAAAGCTTGCCGCTTATTGCGTTTACTAATGTGTGCGGCGTGTGTATGTTGCGCTCGAAGCCGC